GTTAACCTGTTTTGGGAAATAATAATCTAGAAAACCACCCCTGAAGATTTGCCAAGCTCTGATGCAGACGTGCCCAAGCTATCTTTAAAATGACTTGCCCAAGCTATCTCCAGCAGTGGAAGGAACTTGTGTATTGGCTTATAATGCCAACTGACACGTAGAACTGGTGAACGTGGGCATCAGTGACACATCTGCATGAACAGGTCTCACCGTGCAGTTAGTAGAATCTGCCATACAAACTTAAAATCAGGGACTAACTTGGCCTACCCTAAGCAGCAACAATCCCTGTCTCTGCTGTTACTGCACCTGCCCAGCTGCAGATACAGAGGGTGTTATCAAGCAAGGGGACGAGGCCACTTTGCCGTCATTGTCAAATGTATTGCATGTGTTCCTGCCTGGGTGGCATGGTAGTGGTTGTGCCATTCATTCTCTCTTCTTCCCATGATTACAAAGGTGCTGTATCTGCTCCGGTGCCTTCCAAAGCTTGGATGCATGTCTGCAAGTTATTAAAAATGTATGAAAATGCAAATATAACTAAGATCATGCTTTATGACTGTGGCATAATGGATTTTATATTCAGAATGTTCAGAATTATCCTATCTATAAAATTTTGTTTTTCTTGAAATTATTTTTAAGCCTGTCCCTCATGAGCAGTTTCATTCAGGATGGGATTTTTCAGTTTACTGTGTTGCACTGGGAACATTTCTGCATTTCTTCATTATCTGTCAGGATTAGGCATTGAACTGGAAGTTCTAGCAATGCTAACATGTTCAATGGTAGTTAGTTTGTACCCTAGGCTCTCTCTGGGGAGGAGATAATACAGACCAGGCCTTTGGCTCCTGAGTGACTAAGTGACTCTTAAAAACATTTGGATTCTTGTGCCAAAATTGTCTAGGTTTGCCTGACAGTTGCAACAGTGCTTGAGTGCCTCTTTTAATGTTGTTGCTTTTGCATGTGTTGTTTCTGGAATATCAGGGTGAAAAGAGGATAATGGGCACAGGCAGGGAAGCACAATGAAAGAAATGGAGAAAGTGAGTGGAGTAGAAACACAGCTGAAACATTCAGGGAACTTTTCCTTCTGAAAAACAGTTTAAACTTGATATGGTAACTTGGTTATAGCTTACATATTAACATTGCCTAATTCATACAGGTGAGTATATTAGTGTGATAGGCATGTATGAACATACGTATGCTTGCTGCTTTGGCAGTCTTCACACAAGATGATATATGTGGAAATCTCTTTTGGTTTTAATAGTTTTTCTACATCTTTGTTCAACAGCTCAATTATATGCCTCCTGACCATTCAGTAGATTTTGATTTTACTAAGAGAGGGCTACTAGTGTTTGCTGACAAATCAGTTGCTGCTGGGAGCATGTATACACCTTGCAGTTCACCTGAACCCAAACCATCTACCTTCACTCCAAACCTGGGAGTTAATGACTTTAACGCAATCATCCAACAGATGGCAAAGGTAAGGCTCTCGGGTTTGTTGAACCAAACCCACATTCCTTTAACATCAAACTTTTTCTTGCATGCTTTTGGAGTACATTTTCAATCATGTTCTTTTGTTGCGTATCTGGGAGTGTGGTGCCTCCTAGACAGTAAGAGAGTAGAAGTGCTTAGGTTAACTTTTCCCTGTGAAAGATAATGTCAGCAATGGAAAGTCGTTTGGTGGTTTTGTGTCTGTCTTCTTTTTTTTTTTTCTTTTTCTTTGCCCTTTTTTTTGGTCTGTCTTTCTACCAAACACACCAATGTAGAAAAGAAATTTTAGTTCCCAGAAAACTTTTTTGGTATTTGATGACACTTAATTGAAAATGGACATTTTCTGCAGAAACTTATTTTGACAGAGAGCCTTGTTTTATCATGTAATATATGAACAGTGCAAATGATTAAAAGAACTGGCATGTAGTATTTTATTTAACTCTTCATGTAGTATGTCTTAACTTTGCCAGACAGATGCTGATTTCATTAACATGTGATGTAGCATGTACCAGATACTTATGGAAGTTGTACAGGTGCAGACACCCACCCACATGGGACTGGCATTTGTACCACAAATGTATTGTTCTGTGTTACTTTGAACCATTAATTTGTTAGTCGTGCCTTTCTATATTAAGTAACTGTTGCTAACTGACTACCTTAATGTAGCTGTAGTATTTTGAGCATAACTCTTCTCATTAGTGTTTCATTAACTCATCAGGCAAAAGATTTAGCAGTAAAGACTGCACATTATTTTGGATAAAACGCTGTGATAAGCAGTGCATTCTCTAAGTAATATTTTCCAGTAAACAACCCCAGAAATCTTGTATTAGAACTGAGAAGGAGGCAGTCACAAAAGTAAACTTTTTTTAGCATTAAGTGTGAAGTTGCAGGGAGGGGAAGGAAATTAATTTCTTTATTTAAAAGCTGCAGTCTTTTGAACATGCACCTAAAAATCGGCATTAAAAGCAAGGGGAGCCAAAAGACAAGTAATTTAGTTTAGCTATGCAACATTTCCAGAAATCCCAAATATATTGCTCTAGACAGCACTTCGTTCATAGTTTTCATCCAGTTTGGAATTCATCTCATAATGTGAATGAAGTGTGAAAGCAGCTCTTAAAATCCCTGAGGTTTCAGAACCTCAGAGTGCTTGCATATCCAATACTCTGCTATATTAAAAATAATAAATGGAGGAGCTTTTATAGAAATAACATATTCAGTATTTTGCCTTTGTTTAGTCTTAAGAGGAGAATAATTCTCCCAGTATCCATAAATTTTAAACTAGCTCATTGTATTGCATTAAAAATTAGTAAATCAATTTTTTATGTTTTATTAGGGGAGACAAATAGAATCAATAAAGATTGAAAAGCCTTCTGTTGGAGGTCTTGGTTTTAGTGTGGTTGCCCTTAAAAATCACAGCTTGGGAGAAGTTGGTATCTTTGTCAAGGAAGTCCAGCCAGGAAGCATAGCTGACAGGTGAGATCTTTATAATTGTATTGGAAAATCACAGTATTTCCATGAAGGGAAAAGCCATGACTTTCACATTGAAATCTCTATCAGACTAACATGTTTGGGTTATCTGGTGGGATATTTTGTTGGTGGTATCTTGAATTCTGACTTTTCAACTAAATGGATTCATGTTTTGAGGATCAGATTTTCAGATGACTTTTAAATATCTGAGCCATTCATGAATGGAATTTCCAGAAATCATGACTCACTTAAGAGAATCTTGAGTACTGATTAAAAAAACAAAAGAAAACTCAGAAAAGAATACAAGGAAAATAAAAATTAGCCTCCGTTTTAATTTTTATGCATTGTGTCCCTGAAAGATTCCCCCCCCACTTGATTCTTTATTTATGTGCCTGTGACAAAGCCTTATTTATAGTTGGTTTTACTGTTTATTTCCTGTGTAAATTTAGATCCAGTCCTCCCGACAGATCCCTGCACAGATGTCATCATAGAATCAAGGCTTCAGGCAGTTTCTTCCCGTATTGTCTGTGGGTTTTCGCCCAATAACAAAAGACAGAGCAATCCTTTAAAAATAAAATGTGATTGTAAAACTACAAGAGTTGGCATGAGACAAATGCAGTGCTTGGAATTATGTTTCAAGAAAATGTGTCTAGATTTCAAGTCATTGGTGTCACTTTTTAAATAACACATGTCAGGAAGTGCCAACACAGGATGACAAAAAGAGTGGGGAGAGGTTGGAATGATAATGGCTATGGGCCCACAGAGAACACACCAGAGAACACTTAAAGAAAAGCATATTAGGCTCTTTCAAAGTGGAGACAGATGGACTGATCCGGATGTCAAAGGAGGGTGAATATCTCACTTTAGGATTTGATGACCTGCTGCTCACTTTCTTTGATGAGAGAATCTAAAATATGGTTAGTGCTTGAAGAAAGTGATTTCTGGGAAACATCTTAAACATCGCATGATAAAAAGGAAGTTTAAAATGCGTTAGTTAAGATGTGCAGTTATATTGTTTCAGAGTGTTTATAAATTTCCCCAGCATGCTTCCCATTTTGCTTCTGAGACAGGATCTCCTGGAGACTTTTTTTGGATTCCTACAGAGCTTTGAAGGCACTGTCTGTCTGTGTAACAGTTTGGTCTCGTGCTCAGAATGAATATTTAACTAAGGAGATGAGTGATGGGTTTTCTCTTGTCACAAATCTACATTCATCACTAGGGTGAATTAACTGTGAAATTTATATTTTCTTAAGGTATAAGTTGAACTGTGTGTTGCTTGAAGAAAGTTTGATGTCTGAAGTTTGATTCTGTAAATTTTGAGTAAAATATATATGCAGCTCATCTATCTCTAGATTAAATAATGGTACAAAACAATATCATAACCTGAGTTGTGGGTACTTAGAGATAATATCATGTAGTGCTAAACATAATTAAAGAGTAGTTCATTGTATAACTACAAAAATGAATTTTTCTGCCCTGTAATTGAACGTCATCAAGAAAGCATGAGGGAATTTCACTGCATTTTGAATTGAAGCAAAGGATAAAATTGAGCAGACTTATGTACTGTTATAAAGTTGGGCCAAAATACGGCATGTGTATCAGTACAGTGTGGATTGCATGTAGCTTGTATGTTGGTGAAGGCAGACTAATGAGCAGATTTTTTTAATATATAAATACTTAACTTTGCATAACTGTATTTTGCATGTTCATATTTAAATTACAGAAGCCTGTTATGAAGTCACTATGCTGCATTTTAAAATTTCTTTTAATGTTTTGTGAAGGGATCAAAGACTAAAGGAAAATGACCACATACTGGCCATTAATTGCACCCCATTGGATCAGAACATTTCCCATCAGCACGCTATTGCCCTCCTCCAGCAATCCACAGGATCTCTACATCTGGTTGTTGCTAGGGAGCCAGTTCAAGGAAACAGCAGAACTTCGGCTGTCTTATTAAGTGATATAAATCCACCTGAGACTGTGAGTTGTTGTAATACTGTCAAAATCAGATTTTGTACTATGCTGGATATTTTTTTTTGTGGTTGTGTTTGTGTTAGCAAGCTTTACATGTAGGGATTTTTTCTTTAATCAGACTTTATATGCGATGACATTTCACTTAGACGGATCGTGCAATAAGTATAAGGCTTCCATTGCAAAGCTGCGTGAACTTGTTAGAAAATACATCCTGGGTTTTTACGGGATAACAGAAGCTTTAGTAGATAAACATATTCTTAGCAGCAGGGTCTGTTCAGCATAGGCAGGGGAAAGCATTTTGCGAGTATATCCAGCTGAAGCCTACTTGTGCTCAGCAATTAAAGATGCTCTGATTACATTTTAAAAGAGTGTAAATATAACCTATCATGAGCACAAGCACTGCCTGTAATATCCCAAGCAATTTAAACTTAAACTGCTCAACACAAAAAGCTTTGTCTTTGTTTTAAAAACAAACAAAAACTATCTTTTAAAGAACCTCTCAATGAACCTCTCAATCCCTGTTTATTTATCAGGGTTTTTTAATCTGCAGATTTCATTGATTGTGAACCCTTTTGTTTTCTTGAACAAGAGAGATTGTCAGTGGGACATGTAATAAGCTAGGGCTGAACTTCCATCTGTGTTCAAACCATATGGTCCAGGTGGCTTCACTGAATTTGGTTGAACTGCACACCTAAATCCAGCGTTTGCAATATTGGAATCTTAATTTATAATGCTAGTAGATTTTGATGAAAATCTGGTTAAGAGCAGTGCTTTTCCTTACTCTCAGTAATTATTTCCCTCATGATTGTTACAGAGCTAGTGAAATATGAAGGTTTTAGTGGATAATCAATATTGTTTATTGCACTGAAAATTTTAAAGAATTAAACTTTAACTGCTTTTTCATTGAAAGATCTGCACTGAACAGACTAACAAAATAAAATACAAATATATATCTCTACAGGGGGTCTTTAAACTTCTTTTATGATATTTAACTGGCTTTGGCAAAGATTTTCAGTATGCTAATAAATCCTTTATTCACAGAAGACTTAAATCTGCCTACTTTGCTCCATTTTGGTGTCTATGAGATATTAATCTGACAGAAACATTGGCTGGGTTTGGGTTGCTTAACAGCTTTGTTATGTTCAGATTGTCATGTAGAACATAAGGTCATGGTACAGTGTAGCTTAGAAACATGCTTCTGATTCAGTATGGCAGAATATTGTACTGTGCTATTAATTCAGCGTGTAGTGGTGGTGTTTAGAGTGTGTAAGTAGAATAACAGAAATAAGAATTTGGGCAACGCTAAGTGAAAACTAGGCCAGTGCAAGCTCCTTGCCTCTGTTTTTCTCTGTTGTTTGCAGTGTTCTTGATTTATGAAAAACTAAAAGGATAGTTTTCATTTTGGCAAGAAAATATTAAAATTGCTTTTTCTTAGTCAAGCTTTTTCCTAGTATCCTGTTATCCTGAAAGTGAAGAACAAAATGTATGTTTAAAAACAGATGAGAAATCCCACTGGGTATTTATAAGGAAATGAAGCTGACTGAACAAACTCCAACAGATCTCCAATATGTGGGGTAGAGAGAGAAAATTGCTCTGATTAATTTCTTGTCATTCCTGGTACATGTGAAAGTGAGAAACACTAAAGATCGACTGAAATTAAAATCTCCTGTTTTTATTAATTGCAGATTCACTGGGGCCACGTTGAAGACATTGAGCTGATTAACGATGGTTCAGGATTAGGCTTTGGAATTGTAGGAGGAAAGTCGAGTGGAGTAGTTGTAAGAACAATTGTTCCTGGGGGATTAGCAGATCGGGTAATTTGTTATATTATGTCACTTCTTGTTTGATTGTAAAGTATAATTAACTGGTTTTGACAGTCTTAAAATAAACTAATATACTTAAACAAAGGGAAGCTGATAGCATCGAAGTCTGAATGCCAACATATACTTTATAAATAAGTATGTTGAAGGTATGATTGAGGAAAAAGTCAGCACCTGATATGAATTAAGTTGTTTCTCAGACATGCATTGGCTTTTATAACACTGTCGAACATGCAGAAATTCTGAAAAGGTGTCTAACTTTCTAATATTTGCAGTACTTTTGATATTTTCAGCTTTTGGTCAGTCTAGGGGAGGACAAATACTCTTAATGGATTTGTACATCCTCTGTAGAATTTGGCATATTTGGCAACATTTATAGGGACAAACTCTCCAAATGAGTTGTCAGGCAAGAGAATATGCCCTACTGAAGTAACTGCATTGCAAGATTCAGTTTGTAGGCGGAAGATGTCCTCTTTTTAGTGGGTTTCATTTTAAAGGGATTTTGATCCCTGCCTTGCTGTCTGACCAGTTCAAGGAGACACTTATGATTGATGCAAAGCCTTTTGAAGTTACTGATATCTTTTAAAGTTGTACAGGTACAGTTTGCAACCTTTAATTGATAATCTTTAAAGACTCAGTGCTAAGTGTTGCTATGTTTCAAGAGTAGAACACGTGCAATACCAAAACATTTGGATTTTTCATGTGAATTTGGTCATGACAACTTACAATATTTGAGGTCTGGAACCCATGCAGACAAGATCCGGTAACATACAAAAGAGAGAGGCTGAGTACATCCTCTAGTATAGGATGGAAACGAAAACTGGGGATTTGGAGAGCTTTACTGGAAAATGTTGCCTTTTGCTTGACTGCTTCCCTCTGAACCTGTCATGTATAAATGAGTATTTTTTAATTATTGTGTAACACCTGTTTTGCTGTAAGGAATAAAGTGTTTTGGCTACAAATAAAGCATGCAAGTTAGGAACTCACCACATCATTCTCAGCTGAATGAGACATCATTAAGAACATGTGAAATAGTGAGCACATATACATGTTAAAATTGGATGAGTTTGTAAATGAGTTTGAGTTAGTTCTGGGAATAACTCTGCTATGATTGCTGTATAAATCAATACACCTAAGGTGGTGGAGCTGTGCTGATCAATACCAGCTGAGGATTTGGTCCTATGAATGCTTGCTTATAATAGAAATGATGATGTGGGTCATGAATCATAATTATCATGTAAAAATGGTTTGTGCAGAGTCTTGTTACCTTCAGTGGCTTTACTCTGTCCAGTTGGAACTAGTCATATGAGAAAAGAATTGCCAGGCTAATACAGAAGTATTAGGAAAAATTCTAAAAGTTCTAAATCAAAATGGTGTCCTTTTTAATCTATACCCCTATCCGTGAGGAGTGGTCTATGAAAAAGCAATATATAACAGCTTGTGAGATTATAAAACATTGTTGCTGTCTGCTTTCTCCTAAATGAGAAAAGTAACCACATTCTTAGGAATGGTACTATTCAACTTGTGTTTCTTACTCAGTTTTGTAAAGCTTGATTTACAGCTGTCAACTACTGTGGAAAAAACAGTGCATGGTTGTGCAAACGCTTCCTTTAATTATTTAGGATGTTGCTGTGGTGGTCAACTTTATGGTATTTTCTTGCATTGGCTCTCATGGCCATGAAGATGACTGTACACAGTTTCAATTTTGTAACAGAAAAGGTATTTTGTATATAGACGGGAAACATTTTTTTCGATTTTATTTATGTTTGAAGGATGGGAGGCTCAGGACAGGAGATCACATCTTACAGATTGGAGGGACCAATGTGCAAGGAATGACCAGTGAACAAGTTGCCCAAGTGCTGAGAAACTGTGGGAATTCTGTTAGGATGATCGTTGCAAGAGACCCAAAGTGTGAAATTATGGAGATTCCACCAACTCCTATGAGCTGGCCAGTCAGTACATTACCTTCCTTTCAAAATGGAACTGTAAGTATCTGGTGTTTACTCAAGACATCTTTAAATGTGTTTGTGGCTTGTGATCAGAAAGGAGGAGGCGAACAGAGTGTTCTTGAGACCTAAAGTGCTTCTCCACTTTTGAGTTTCCAGATATCATATGTGTGTATTTAAGTGGTCATTATTACAGCCTTGCCTTCTATAATTTTTCCCTTTTTCCTGTATGTTATTAATACCTAAAATCTTGGGTTTGGAATGACCAGCTTTACAGAATTTATTTCAGAGTGAGTAATTTAATTACCAAGACCATAAACGTTATCAATAAATGGTACTTTTAGTTCTCCTTCTTAGCTCTCTACATTTTTGCTAATCAATCATTTGTAAGTGAATTTAAAACTTGACTGTGAATTTCCCTAGTCTGAAATCCAGAGCGCCATGGCCACACCAGAATTATTCAGCACAATCAGCTTTTTATGAAACATAAGTGTAATGTTTTCATAGTCTACGCTACTGTCTGTGATAGGAAATATATCTAAAAATTTTGAAACTTGTTTTAGCAAATTTTATCATGGTCATATCAAAGTCTCTTGTTTTTGAAGTCATTCTCTTCAGTTTTGAGTAATTAAAATCAACAAATGCTACACTAAGTGTACAGTAGGTCTCGAAACATAAACAAAGCTGTGCTTGTGTACCATCTGCTACTACTGTGCTGCTTAGATTTAGGTGTAGAATCCGAGTAGCCTTTTCTTGTCTAGTTTCTTGAATGAGTGAAGAGCGCTGGGTGTTTGGGTTTTTTTTGAAGCACCATTTTTAAAGGTCAGACTAGCAGTCATATTGTTACAAACCTGCCTTCTCGCTTACTGGGCATAGTCACTGCAAAGGCAGCCGTTAGCGTTGTGTTGTGCATCTCTCTGGAAGGCTACTGTGGCTGAGGCTGTCAGTAAAGTATTTTGGGTCCTTCTCAAGCCCCTCTTCTCACAAGAGTGATTGGTGTAGTAAGAAATGTGAGTGGCAGAGAGACGGGAGGGCGTAGTCTACGTACATAAGGTTGGAGTCTTAAAAGTCAGCTTCTCTAATACTCGGAAAAAAGGCTTTCCTAGAGAATCACCATCATTATGAAGCATTTCTTTTCTGGCTGTATCATATTTTCCAAGGCCCGTTGTTAGGAAAAAATAATACAGTCCTAGTTTTGTTTCCTCTACAAAGTACTATTTTTCTCTCTCCCCATCTCAAAGGCAGGCCTGTTTGTCACTAATTGACCCCGAGCATTGTAGATGCTGCAGCCTTTCTAAAGTGTTATTCCTTCTGGATGTCTTTTCAGTGTCCTCCTTATTCCTGCTATGTAGTTTAGAGGTTTTCTTTTTTGCAAACCAGCAGAAAGGCATTTTTAATATATGGTTAGTTTTTTTCAGTTTTATATTAGTAATTGTTTTCCTTTACATTTCCTGTAGTAGAGAAAAACTGAAACTACTTATGTCTGTGCACGGGCACAAAAAGCCAGCCATATTATCAGTACTCTTCAAGATGCTGACAGCAAGGTTAGTAGCCTACATGTGCTGACTGTATTTAGGACTCTCTACTTTGATTTTTCCAGACTTGACTTCTAATGTTTTGCATTCTACCAGTAATATTACCTAGAGAAAACTTCTATAGTGCCAGAGCACTGGCTATGAAGGCTTTTGATTGTCAGAATAGCAGGACTCTAGGCCGTAGCTCCGTTTCAGATGTAGCTATAGGCTTGTTAACTGTTTTGGTTCCCTCTCCTAAAGATAAGTGAGAGAACATCAAAACTTGTCTTCACCTCCATCAGCGTCTTACGGAGTAACAGAGTTGGAAAGCATTTTATGAGCTTAGTGAGTTGGCTAGTGGAGGGGACTGTGTGTGATAAGGAGGAGATAGCTGTCCATCGATTTCTCTTTCAGTGAGAAGTGAAATAGGTATGGCCCTAACTTTGGTCTGCTTTTAATATAGGTCCTTCCAAAGCTGATATTTGGCAAACTTTTGATTAAACTTCTCTTTTGTTCATTCTTTTGAGAAATGTTTTCCAATCTCCCGGTCCATTTTTTACTGTTGGCGGTGACAGTATCCCTCTTGATTTCATCACTTTAACAGACCTTACTCTGTTCATCATCTTCTTTTTGATCTCATTGGGCTGTATCTGATTACTGAAAACAAACAACTTTATGTGTTTTAATTTAACCCTTGCAGTCCCAGATCTATGTGCTTGATTTTTTTTCTCTTTGATATCACCAAAGTCTTCAGTGTGTCCTGTTTGAACTCTGTCTTGCAGTTTTAATTTTTAGTTGTCAGAGTAGAGACATTCTGAAGCTGGCTTTGTGGGGACCTTTTTCCGTATACTTCTCCAGTGTAAGGTCAGATAACATTGTAATCTTAGCTAGTGGCTTTTACGGGTTTTTTGATAATTGTAGTAAGTGGAGGGTTTGGAGAACAGGTCATGTTATGTGCTTGTCTTTTCAAGTATTGTTTGTTATGAGAAGTTGTCTTACCAGTTCAGCAATAAAGCATTTACAAATTAATACTCTCCCTTCCTCTGTTAGTTCTTAAAAATAATTTTCATTGAATGTGAACTAATGAGTCTTTTGCTTCCTGTTGCCTTGGACAACCTGGAGGCTTCCAGTGCTCTTTGCAGTTCGGTGGTGTTCAAATCTGAACAGGATCATATCAAACCTGTTAAGCTGATGTGTGCGAGATTAACTTTTGGAATGGTTTTGTGGTTTGGGATCTAGCATAAAAACAAACACTAAGCTCAAACACCTACCTAGTCTCCCATATTTGCAATTTAGTAGGCAACTGCTTCTGTATTAGGGATATGCCTACTATGTGTACACGTGGTTTCTTTCATTTCAGGGTATCGAACCTGTTTCTGTTCTGGTTTGAGATCCCTTTCCTCCTGCCCTTCACTTCCTTACTAGGTGGTAACAGGGAGAGATAAGCATTGCTTTTTCTGACAGAAATGTGTGATGTGATAATACTGTGTATTTATACTGGGTTTTTTGCTTCTTAACCGCTGAGTAGAAAGAGCTCAGGAAAATGGTTTCATGATACTGTCAGTACTAACATTTGAAAGACAGAAGAAATTATGAAGGCATTCAGAGTTTCTGTTGTCCTGTGGGATTTCACTGGGAAGTTTGTTGTTACCAAGTGACAGTGGAATCCAAAGGGAAATGGCCCCTGAGCAGTCTAAGGAAAACCTTTATTCTCCATAAAATATTAATATTATACCTCTGACAGGTATATAGAGAAAGTATTAGGAAAGAATTTTAAAAGCAACTAATGACTCTGGGTAACACCTAATTTTCAGCAAATCTTGGGTATATCTCTTTTGCAAATATGATCCTTCCTAAAATAGGAAAATCAAAATCAGTGCTCACTTCTGAAGATCTTAATTAACCTGCAATATCATAATGGTACTGGGAAATTATGAGATTTTTTTTTTTTTACTGTCTTGTGTTTTGTTTATAGCATAATACCAGCCATTTTGAGACCTATGATGTTGAACTTATAAAAAAGAATGGGCAAAGCCTGGGAATAACAATTGTTGGATATGCTGGCACATGTGATGTAGGTGAGTTCTGCAGGATTTAGTAAAGCCTGGAATAGGGGCTTCTCAAATACCCTTCATTTACTATGGGGAAAATGGATAGTGCTTCTTTGAAACAGTGTAACTTAGAAAATCTATGAAAAAGATATTTGGAGAACTTGCTGCAAAGTGAAATTCAGCCACAAAAATTTTTAAAGAGGTGTAGTTAGCTTAAAAAATAATTCCCACTTGACTGCTGGACTGTGAATTTTACATGCTTATGTTGTTACTGTGCAAGACACTAAACTGTAACAGACAGTTCCTGCATGACCAGACTCTAACACAGTCAGGTTCCTGTCCACACTGTTCCTTATTTTGCTCCTGCAGTGTGTAGCATAATTCTGATAGCGCATTTTAAGAAGAATTTAAAAAACAGAGTATCAAATGTTCCCAGTTTGCATTAACTTTTGAATAGGTTCTTCAGTACGTACAAAATAGCTCAACATGCAACTTTTGCTTGTTTAATGAATTGTAGGTGTTAGAGTGGAAGTGATCAGTCAGATTAACTAGTCTGTCCCTCTGCCAGGCAGGAGATGCAGGGAGTCTTAGCTGTGCGTGATGCGTATGCCACCTTCACAAGATGATGTACTTGGCTTTGGCAGATGGCTGTTTCAGCGTCTAAACTCTGGGAACACTTAAAATACCTGTGCTAGGATATGGGGACATGGAATCAGTTTGTTCGTTTTGGTGTTTTTCTAAATCCTCTTTAGATTAGAGCTGTTAACTCTTCACTTACATGCTGGTCCCAGAAACGATAGTATCTTTAAAATTGACTCAACTGAATATCTAGTTTTACACAAAGGGGTAGCGCTTTTTATCCCCTCCTCTTCCTTGTGGGGCTCAAGAAAGTATTCCGGGAATGTGGGGCATCTGGGGTTGCTCTCCAGCCTTCTTCATTCCCAGGAGACCCTCTTGTGTTGCTGGTCAGGAGTCCCAGGCCAGTGCCGTGAGCGCTGGGAACTGGCTTGGGGAGGAGCACGTGTCAGGCAGTGGGAAAAGGTGGATTTGAAGTACTGGTAGAAAGGTTTTGCTGAGCAGGGACAAATTATGATGGCCAGGTGTCTGAGGACGGTTAGTGTTCAGAAAAGGATGAAGTATTCACTAGAATTAAAGATCAACATCTCATATTTTGCCAGAGTTAATGGAAGAGAAAGGTTACTGCTTTAGCACATGACTGGGTTTTTTACTGTTTTGTTTTTATTTCCTTGTTCTAGTTAGAAGTTAGAATTAGTAATCAAACATCAAACATGACAAGGACGGCTTTTCTGACTTTCATGGGGTTTTTTTGTTTTTTTGAGAAAAATCCTTTTTCATTAAGATTTAAAGTACTGAATTCTTTAGCTGTAAGATGATTGAAGTCATGATCAAAGTACTTAAGCACATACTCTACTTTTAGCTTAGGTAGTCCTATTGAAATCAAATGCAGCATGGATTTAAGTGATTGTGGTTTAAAGCCTGGGTAAGCACAAGGAGGAATCCGTGGAGGAGGTGGCCTTTTGTGAGCCATTTTAAGGAAAAAAAATTGAGGTCAATGTATAGGTGGTTGTGTCGGTGCTGGTTTTTCCATCAGAGATCTTCAGTCATTCTATGTCAAGCTGTGTGAGTGGTAATGTGCAAATGTCAGTGGTTTGCAGAATCATAACTTTGTGGACAGAAGTTGTTTGTGGAAAAAGGCTGTAATTAAAAATCTTAATAAGAAAAGAAACAGATTAGTGTAGTGACTTGTTTTTCTTCCTCCCCTTCCCTCCCCTGCCAACAGAACCTTCAGGGATTTTCGTGAAAAATATAATACCTGGTAGTGCTGCTGACCACAATGGCCAAATCCATGTTCATGACAAAATTGTTGCTGTAAGTAAAATAGTCTGCTTATATATTGTTATAGAACTAATACTTCATTACACATCTCAGTGTTAAAAGAACAACATAGTAAAGTAATTCTAAAATTAATTAAACCTCCTCTTTGCCGAGGAAATAATTTAGTGGTTCGTATTTGTTTAGGTAGATTTGTAACAGAAATGAGCTTTCGCTTGCTGTGGTTAAAATGCTAGTTTACATTCAAAGAAGTAGTAAATAGTAGTTAATTATGAAAGAAGCAAGCATTTGGATTAAAATGCTTCAGAGTGGAGAATCTTTACTTCAGGCCAAAAGCCAAGATGAGCAGCATTAACTTCTATTTGAACTGAATGGGATTTGAGGATGGTTAAGATTTTGCAAGATGTGGCACACTGTTTATGATCCTTAATGACTGTGTAGCACAGAGTGAATACAATCAAAATGTTAATAGTCACAATTTAGGTTTAAAAACCCAAGCTTTATATAGTGTTAAAAAAAAAAAGAAAAACCATTGAATAACAGTGAATTGAATAATAGCCAATTTTATATTCACAGTACAAGCAGG